TATAAATATAAATGATTTAAAATATTTTTTTCATTTTATTTTACTTGTTCATTTTAGCAAATTGAGAAATAAGGGAAATTATATTAGTTTACCAAATTGCTTTTATTAAAGTCATTCCAGTACTTACTTTTACTTGATTTTTCTTCACAATAAAGTATTAAGTGAGAACCAATAAGATTTAAACGAGGATGGTGCCATTGAATAGTTGTCAAATAAAAAAATGTGACATTCTTTTTCAGACGAATTAAAATAAAAAGGGCATCACATGAATAAGGATAGAGGGAGTGTGTGTGTATATATATATATATAGGGATTCTAGTTCTTGGACAAAATTTCGAGAAAAATGAGGAAGATGATTCTTTATAAAGTTTCCACTGGCTTGGGCCCATTTCACATACCTGCTTGCATCGTCTCGCGAAAACAGGAATAATTCTCTGTTATGAAGTCGTACGGATGAATAATTTATGATTGAAAACTAGAATCGTAGGCCTTCAATTTGATAGGTTGTAGGCACTCTAGATCTTTATAGATTGAGAGAAAAACTTTGAGATATTTGACCTAATTTTAGAGAAACTCTTAAAAAAGAAACTTGCAATAACTTTCGCCAACTTTTATTTGGCTACTCGCTTATTTCAAAACTTAAAATACACTCTTGAACAATTCAAATAGGTCATACCATATATTAATTTAGACATTCCAAAAAGGGTGTGGTGTTACGATACACCTTTTATTAAAAATTGTAATATAAATTGTTACTTAAAGAAAATAATGATAGGACTCCCTCCATTCCTTTTTTAACTTGTCACAATTCATATCACGGGAGTCGATTCAACTAATTTTCAGAGCTAAATTAAAGTATAAGAAATTTAAAATTTTAGATATTCGAAAATAATATGAAAAATACTATAAGTTGAAATCTTTCTCATATAAATATGACAAACTATACATCTTAAATTATTAATCAAAATACATGTAATTTTGACTCTCAAAAAACATTTTAAAGCACATATGGAAAGGGAATACATTAATGAAAAAGCTATGAAGGAAATAGTGAAGAAAAGAATACTAACAACAACAAATATTACGATAATCGAATCAAAGAGAAGAATAATTAATCTAAATGGAAGCAAAGAGAGAAGTAATAGAGATGAATGAATACTCATATTTCATTTTATTTGAATGACTAACAAGACTCTGTTTTTCAGTTTACAAAGAATGAGCTATGAATTCGACAAATGTATTTCTCATTTGTTGAAATTCCATAACAAAGAATGAGATATGATTTCTTGAACTTGAATCAATTTGAGTATTCATCATTTCTTGAACTTTCAGAGACGATACGAGATGAACTGGACTGTGATTCAGAGATCCGGCATATCAGTTCTGCCATTTTTGACCTTCAAGTTCAATTTTCTCCCTGGTACAAATGTAGGACCGTTCGCCTGTTGATACGGCGACGGTGGTGTTGCTGAAACTGACTGTGGATGAGCCATAAAGCCGAGATGAACTGGACTGTGACGATTCAGTGATTCTGGCATATCAGTTCCGCCATTGTTGACCTTCAAGTTCGATTTTCTCAGTGGTACAAATGTAGTGCCATTCGCCTGTTGATATGCCGACGGTGGTGTTGCTGAAACTGACTGTGGATGAGCCATAAAGCCGAGATGAACTGGACTGTGACGATTCAGTGATTCTGGCATATCAGTTCCGCCATTGTTGACCTTCAAGTTCGATTTTCTCAGTGGTACAAATGTAAGGCCGTTCACCGGCGGCGGTGTTGGTGAAACTGACGGTGGACGAGCTGATTCCGAAATGGGTTTTCCACGTTTCTTAAACACTCTGAATCTCGCTGTAAAATCATTTTAGTACAAAAAAAACAATCAGTATTTGAAAATTCAAGAACAGAGAAAGAACCCCATGTATGAAAATCAAAAAAGAAGAGCAGAAAACAGAGACCCCATGCTTACCAAGGATGGCAAACAGCGACCCCACGATTAATAAGCAAATGAAAAAAATGCGAATTTTGCAATTTCGACTTAGAGCCATTTTCACGGAGAGCCAAAGAGGGAAAATTGGTTATTGAACTTTTCTTCTTCTTCTGTAAATTTTGGATCTCTGAAGAAGAAGAAGCAAATCTGAGCGGTTACTTATATATGTAAATAAAATTCAGTTACTAAAAAAGGCGGGAGAACCAGTTACAAAATACAGTTATTGTATGAATGGGGATGCAAAAGGGTGTATTCTCTAGTAATGTACTCCTTTATCCTAATTTTTGTAGCACTTTTAAGGATTTCGAAATTTAAATAAGGTGGGAGTGACTTTTGTGGTGAACAAAATGAGGGAAGCAAGACTGAGATGGTTTGGACATGTGAAGAGGACCTACGCTGATGCACCAATGAGGAGGTGCGAGAAATAGGTTATAGAGGGTACGAGAAGAGGCAGAGGTGAGAGAAGTGATAAGACAAGAGATGACCCAACTTCAGGTTCCAAGGACATGAATTTAGATAGGAGGGTGTGTAAGACACATATCAGGATAGAGGTTAGAAGGTAGTGTAGTATTTGTCTTGTTTGGGGTGGTTGGTGTTTGTCATTGTACTAGTGGTATTATTATTGTTTAGTGTGTTTCAAATATCGCACTATTGTATTGTTGTTTTGCGTCTTTCTGGTACACTTTGCACTATTTACGTGTTACTTGCTATATTTTATTCACTGACTCCTTCTTTATATTGGAAACAACCTCTCTACATCCACAAGTTAGTGGACTAGTGTAAGGTTTGTGTATATTTAGTGGACTTATTTTCCTTTTTAATCCATTTTAAAAAGTATGTCTCTTTCCTTTTTTTCAGCAGTTCTCTAATTATAACTTTTCACATGACATATTAAAAACCACAACATTAAATGACATTTTGGTAAATTTGACATATCTTAATTTTAGATCAGAAAGTTCAAAGTCTTAATTATTTTCGTAAATTCCGTAACGAGTTAAAATAAGTCAAACAGATTGAAACGGAAAAAGTAAAATTTTTAACCTTTCAGAAAACTTGATCAAACTTAATAGGTGGTAGACAAGTAGAGAAACCGTTTCCATAGACCTCAATTCATGTAAAATATTTTAAAACATGTATAAAAATGGAGTACATTAGTTAAGAAGCTACGAAGGAAGTAACGGAGAAAAGACTACTGACAAGAACAAATAATATGATAATCGAACAAAAAAGAAAAATAGGTAATCAAAACTTGAAGCAAAGAAACAAGTAATATGGATTAATGAATACTCATATTTCATTTCATTGAATAACAAGACTCTGTTTTACAGTTTTCTTTTATGAATCAAATCAATAGTTCGATTACAAAGAATGAAATATGAATTCGACAAATGTGTTGAACTTCCATTACAAAGAATCAGATATGAATTCACTATAGAAATACCATTTGGGTATTCATCATTTCTCTAACTTCAATCAATCCATTCTCCGCTTCCACGATAACAATTTCGTCAACATCTTCAATCAATTCCCTGTTTCTGAATGATTCTCTGTTTCTTCACTTTTTCTTTCTTTCTTTCTGTAAAAAATGGAATATGTGAGGAGTAACTACTCTACTTGTTAATTCAGAGGCGAATCTAGAATATCAAGAAGACGGGTACACCATTGTCGGAGGCTCTGTCCCTTTAAGAAAAAAGGCAAATAATTTAGGCTTTCAAATTTGAGGGGACTTATTTATTTTAGCAATAATAAATATAGGTTTTTCATAAGAAAAATATTAAATACATTTGCAAAATAAATAAATTTTATTATAAGAAAAAGTCATTAGAGAATCTAGAATATCAAGAAGACGGATACACCATTGTCGGAGGCTCTGTCCCTTTAAGAAAAAAGGCAAATAATTTAGGCTTTCAAATTTGAGGGGACTTATTTATTTTAGCAATAATAAATATAGGTTTTTCATAAGAAAATTATTAAATACATTTGCAAAATAAATAAATTTTATTATAAGAAAAAGTCATTAGAAGAAGTTTAAAAAAGGCTGAATGCAGAAACTCTTTTGTGAATAAAATAAAATGCAAGGTTGTGAAAATGCAGCATCTGGGAATTGATCCCTCAACCTCAAAGTGGAAAACTGGCACTCGAACCAGTGAACCATCCAATTGTTTGTGTTCATGGATTCATTCAGTTGCTATTTAATATATTTTAAGAATTATACAAGTAATACATCAAATTTTGTCGGATGACCACGGGTTCAAGTGACCCATTTTTTATGCTTAAATTCGTCACTGCTTGTTATATACAGTCTACTTGTTACGTAGTTAGTTAGTTGAAAGTCGGTTATTAATTTGTTCAAATTGGCGCTAATTCTTTATAATACACTTATTCTAACAATCCCAATCTGATATTCTTTTATATTTTAACATTCAAATAAGGTGATTGCAGGTGACATTTTCGTGTGCAGTAAAATCTCACTAAATTAATAATATTTCCAAGATAAATTTTTTTCTCTGGTCCTGATTTGGGTCAATGGAAAAAGTCACTCATTACGATAAGATCACATATTTTTAGAAGACCCTTATATAAATATATGATCTCATTGATATTATAAATTAACAATTCTTTAAAAGTACAAATATATTTAAGACAATTAGAGAAATATTATTCTATTGTGTTTTATTTTTTTGTTAAAATTTAAATCTAATTGAAGTTTATCTAACTTTTCTTATTGCATCCAAAAGTTCTAGTGTTGGCTTTTCAAACTGTACCAGTATCCACAAATTCTTTTGTAAAATTTTGTGGATTGACAAATAATGTATGTAACAATCAATGTACAAGCAGAAGGGATAAAAATGTACAAGAACCAGGTCTGTAACATATCTCCAAAAAAAATCGATGAAACAAATCTTGATTGTATTAAGAGAACTACAAGCGATAATTCTACGCTTCTATAAAACACAACAGAGAGAGACAGAGAGAGCACTGAAATAGAGAGAGAGAGATCCACGAGTGTCTAAGAAAAGAAGAATCAACTACAACAAGATGAAGAAGAACATGTTCCTATCAAGTGAAATAGTTCATCTAACTTTCATCTTTATACCTTTGAAAAATCATATTGCATCTACACAACTAACTACCCTTTCCATTTACACAAATGCAAAAGGAGAATATTTGTTTATAATACGTTAGAATATGTGCTGCACCTGTTATCATGTGACACAAAAATTGATAACAAGGCAAGTTTTTCTATTAGCTTAAACCCCGAAAAGGTTGGATGAGAATACCAGCAGTAGGAGGGGCACCAATTTGGTTCTTCAATTTAGTCCCTCTGAATTTGTTCTGTTGTGATGTTCAACGATAATGGGGCTCTTTTGATTGTCTATTGATCTCGTTCTGTTATGACCTTCAATGTTAATGGGGCACTTTTGATCATCTATTGATCTCGTTCTGTTATGACCTTCAACGTTAATGGGGGTATTTTGATCATCTATTGATCTTGATTTTCTAGAAGAAGAATTTTTACGCGATCGTTGGGGAGGCTGGGCTTCAGGGTCATACTTTTGGGAGGCAAGGTAGTTGAGAGCAGTGACAATATCAGCAATGAGAGGCCGCATATTAGGTTGCTCCTGGACACACATTGCAGCAATTGCAAGAGCTTGGTATAAACCCCTCACAGGATAATGACCTTCTAGTACAGGATCTGCCATCTGGTGGAATTTCTTCCGGTCTTTAAACAATGGTCGCGCCTGCAGAAGTAGAGTTATCATGTTAGATAAGTGCTTCATAAGCAGATTCTCGTAAGCATTGAAAAAAAAGTAGGACTTCCAAATATTATAGTTCACAGCAAGAAAATCTTAAACGCGTTTCTCACTGGTTTATTCATTTTTATGTCTACCCGTTCCATTTTTTCCTGAGAGGCCGAGGAGATATCAACAGATTAGTACAGGATCTGCCAAAAGATCAGGTTTTGGGGCTCATTCTTCCATGCCAAATTGTCATATGTAAATGACGCTACATATAAGCAATATTATTTTATAATTGCAATCATCGGCAATTGGAATGATATGATTGAGTGCTCAACAAATAGAGGAAGTACATTTCAGCACATAGTTCTTAAACACAATGAAAATAATAGTCTCCTTACAAGTCAGCGCATGGTGCTCAACTTAAGATATGTTTATTGATCGACTAGATTTTTGAAGCATACATCTGTCTTTACCCAAAAGAAATTCAAGTGGTAGCTATGTAAAGTTAATTATCAGTTAATGTATGAACTAACATAGCGTACAAATCAAAGGACTTCATCTGATATATCAGGCACAGCGGGGCTGAATAGATGCATCAATGATACAGAGACAAGAATACTTTACAAGTCATATATACCTGATAATCATGTCCAAAAAGCTAGTAGTAATGTGTATCACTTATTTCTGTATTTTATTTCTTACATTTTTACTTGATGAATCTGTGTTACAATATAATTTTCCAGTCACTTGTCAAGATTCTGAACTAAAAACTCTAAATAACTATGATGTTTAAAAGGCACGAATGCAATAACGACCTGATTAAACCAATACAAGATTCTTAAGTGAGGCCGCATATGGCCATGTAAAAAGGATACGGGGAATATGTAGACCTTGACCTTCACACCGGAAAAATATTGGTAGAATTGGCTTCTTAGTAAAAGTAACATTCTATAGTTGCTCATGGATACTTAAATATAGGCCATTCTGGACAGCCCAGCCAGCACGACATCAGTTTCTACTTTCTAAGGCCGCCCATATGTACATGACTACCCCACACTCCACACCTTTCAATATGACCAAAAATGAAAAGATGACTCAGATAAATCAGCTTCAACTCTTTCAAGCACGAAGCAGAAAACTTGTCGCCTAAGAACTTCTAAACTGTTATGTACAATAGGCATTCAAAGGGGTTTAAAAAGGTCTTGGATTGCTACAAATCTACATTCATTGCCTTATGTTTTAAGGTTGGATGCTCAGATTTTGTAGCATAATATAATATCAGAGCTTAACTCTAGCAAGCTCATCCTCACAGTCGTAAGTTCACATTGATTAAATCCAGAGTTAGATTACAGATGCGGGAGGGTAAAATTTATATGCCTGGTATAAAAGGCATAAAAGGGGGTTTACACAAGTCTTAGGCCACTCTATTTATTACCTTAATATTTTGGGGCTGATGCTCAACTTCTTTTACATAAACCGCAAACAAGCAAACAAGAAACAGGAGTGGACAAACCCTGTCTTGTCTGATAAAAAGTAATAAAGGAAAAATCATGTGTTATAACAGCATAACCACACAAATTCACATTTCGCAGATGAAGAGACAAAGACATCTTACCCAAGCAACAAGGTTTTGCTCGGTAGCAGATCTAGCATTGTCGATTGCTTTCCTGCCCGTAATAATCTCCAAAAGAACAACTCCAAAGCTGTAAATATCTGATTTGAATGTCAGTTGGCCAGTCATAGCATAATCTGGTGCACAATATCCATATGTGCCCATCACTCTAGTAGAGACATGGGTCTTGTCTCCAAGAGGACCCACTTTAGCCAAGCCAAAATCAGATAACTTTGGATGGTACCCCTCTCCAAGTAGAATATTAGAGCCCTTCAAGTCACGATAAATAACAGGCGGTTTCATTTTGTCATGCAAATACTCCAAGCCCCTTGCAGCACCTGCAGCTATCATCATTCGGGTGTTCCAATCAAGGCGTTTTTTATCTGACCAAGGGTCTGCAACATACGTTTATCAAGGCCAAGAAAATTAAAATTTGTTGGAAAGTAAGAAAATCCAAAAAAACAAATCTTTTCAATGGTGTTTCTTCAGTGTACGGCATACCATGTAAATGGTCTTCTAATGAACCAAGAGGCATGTACTCGTAGACCAACACCCTATGATGTCCCTCGACACAATAACCAATTAATTTGACAAGATTGGGGTGGTCAGCCATACTTAAAGTGAGTACTTCCACAATGAATTCCCTGTTGCCCTGACATCCATCCGGGTTGAGTTGTTTGATGGCTACAACCTTCCAGAAAAAAAAAACAGGCCTCAGCAAACAAACCAATTATCCTTAAATACAACCACTTATGAGAAACAAGAAAGAACAAATACACGAAAGCTTCAAAACAGCAAGAGAGCCATGCAAGCAATCTCCTACAAGCAGCAAATTTTGATTAATCTAACAAGAACGGAATCGAGCTGACCTGACCACTATCTGCCAAAAAACCTTTGTATACTTTGCCAAAGCCTCCTTCACCCAAGAAGTAGGCTGCTTTAAAATTTTCTGTTGCCGCCACCAGTTCATTAAATTTAAACGCCCGTGCCCTATTCACTCCATTAATTTTAATTCCATCAGTTTCCCCATCTCGGGGAATGCTACTACTACAATTGCCATCCATCCTAGTAATAGATTGGTTTGCATTTTCAGGCTCTTCCTTCTTCACAACTTTATTTTCACTCGCCTTTAGTGTATCTACACCATAATAAAAAAAAAGACACCAAAAACCATTAGGATTGAAAGAAAGTGAGGCCCATTTGAAGAAGAAAACGACATGAATAAGCACATGGATAGTAAATGCCAAAGTTTGCTGATTCTCACATAATAGTATACCAAGATGACCTCAATGATTACATAATCTAAAAGGAAAGGAAGAGCTCTTGAACACAAAAGACAAAACAAAGAAAGAGACTTTCAAATTACATTACAGCAAGATATTATACTTCAGTGGTACCTCAACAATCAGCAGCATCAAAACCAAAACCAAAACCAACACCAACAACATATTCATTGTAGTCCCACAAAGTGGGGTCTTTGGTGGAGAGGGTCGAGTGTACCCAGACTTTACCCTGCCCTTGTTTTCGATAGATCCCCAAGCTCAATAACAGAAGTACAAGAAACAACATAAACTACAAAAAAACAACAAATAATCGAAGGACCATCAAAACCATCCATCCAAAAAAAAACATAAATAATTAAATTAAATAAATAGAAAAAACCCAAAAAGTCAAAAGTTCCAAAAGATGATGTCTACAATTGCTTGTACACTAGATACTTCCTAGAAGACACCCCTCAAATCAGAAATTAGACTTTTTTACAGATAAAAACAGCACCGACGCATCAAGAATTCAACTTTTTCTTCTCTTCTATCAACAATCAACAAGCCATCAGCAATTTCAACAATACCCATTAACAAAAAAACAATCAAATCATAGATGCATGCAATAATCAGATGAACAAAAACCAAAAAATCAGTAAAAAGGGTATGAAATTCCATACCCAAAAATTCATTTTTTAAGCAAAAAACTCAATCGTCGATTAATTTCCAACAAACCCCACATTGAATTTTCCAAAAGGGGGCAAAATTATTCCAATCAGAAAAATGGGTAATCGAACTTTATGTTAAAAAAAAAAAAAAAAAAACCTGATTTGGGGTTTGGTTGATCATCCCTTTTGTATTGATTATTGGCTTGGATTCTCTTTCTTTCTCGTTTCTTCATAGATGGATCACCAGAACAAGGGAAACAACCCATGGCTTCCACTTTCCACAAATACCAAACAAACTAGTAAAACACTATATATTTCTCTCTCTATATCTATATATCTATATCTATATATCTATGAGTATGAACTTTCTTCTCTTCTTCTTCTTCTTCTTCCTCCTTTTTTCTGAGAAGAAAAGAAAGCCCCCAAAACAAGAAGAGTTACAGAACTTTTTAGCTTAGAGATTTTTGGCTTTTGGTGAGAGAGAAAAAGAGAAAAAGGAAGAGAAATAGAAAGAAGGAGCTTCTTCTTTAAGTAGTAGTAGTACAATGTTTTGGTTTATTTTATTTATTTTTGGTGCTAATCAAGTGTAACATTTACTAATTGGGGTAATCCAATCAACAACTTCAACGTGTCATACAAGGGACTTTTAGGTCTTTTTGTGTCTCTATTTTGTATTCTTGTCTTTTCTCCTTCTTTTACTTTTTTTCCTTTTTTTGGATTTTCATTCGGTGTTCGGAGCACATATGGGAGATACGATAAAATTTGAATTGCACATCGTATGACTTATTTCAGAGTGGTGCTTCTAGGGGTGGCACAATTGGACGGGTTGGATTAAATCTGGGCAGGTCAAAATGGGACAAGAGAAAAAACGGGTCAAGACTCAACCCAACTCAAATTTGTTTGGGTCAAAATGGGTAAGGTAACGAGTCATAACTCCACCCGTTCAATTTTTACTAAGTTTTAATAGCTTTATTTGTTATTTTATAAGCTTTTATTACCTAATAATTTTTTTTCTTTATTATAACTATATATAACATATAAAATCAAAAAAATTAAAAATATATCGACGAGATTTCTCAAAAATCAATTTGGGTTACATATCAACTCAATTTTTAATGGGTTGAAATGGAATTGAGCTAACAAATGGGTGGGAACCAACTGAAACGTAAATGGGTTGGGTCGGATTGGACGGGTTGGGTTGATTTTGCTACCCCTAGGTCGTAAGTGATTCCAACATGATTTTCTCCATATCCAAAGCTGTAAATTTGAAACCTCTAGTTAAAGTGCAGCAATCACACCATTGCACCACACATCCATGTTGGTTCTTCTTTTACTTTCTAAAGATTGATTTGGTAGAGTGTACTAGAACAATGTTGAATAGAGGGGTCATTTAGCCGCATGTATAAAAATATTGCTAAATAAACTGTATTAGTTATATTTACATTATTTCTTTTGCATTATTTGATTTGATGCATTATATAAAAAAATTTATAAAAAAAACATATTTACACAATTTTTTTAAATTAGATTTTTTGTTTCCAATTTTCGTTCTCAAATTCTCGTTCAATTTATTAATCATTAAGCTGCCTTGAATATAATTTTAAAATAACAATAAAAAAAAACTTAGATTTTGTTTTTGCTTAAAAATAGGGTAGCCTCAACTATTCCACTTTTGTTTACTCTATTTGAAAAGAGTTATTCTGGTCAGATAGAATTCAAAATTAAAATTTTATGAAATTCAATAATTTATTAGAGTAATTATTATTTAATAAATTTTCTTATATTAATATTTCACATTTAATATGTTGAATTACTCGGCTACGCGGAGAGTAAAATCGGCGAGCCGGCGCCGATCATAACGTAGTTTGACTTTCAAAGCAAGCCAATAAGATATTGACACATGGAGATTAGAGAATTACTGTTTTTTTAATTAATTGTGGTTTAAGTTTTGACCAAATAAACAAGAGTCAGAGAATTTTCAGAAATTTGGCTGAATTTAAGGAAATACAAATACTAATATATTATATTTAGTACATAAATTAGGATAAAAAAATATATATTAAGATTGCGTATCAGTGAGTTCGGTTGTGATTTTGAAAAAGATTATAGTTCGATTTATTGGTTATTCATTTATAAATATGTTAACTGTTACAGAAACATTAAGATATTGATTTATCGGTTATTGATCGTTATTAATTTGGTTATATATTTGATTGTTAAGATTTGATACAAAAAGATTCATTGAAAATCACTTTAGAAATAAGGTGACAAACCAAATGAAATATACACTTGAGTTGAGTCGTCGTTGACATATTGCACCTTGATCAAAAGCAAATACATGCGCATAGTTTTATTTCTTTTTTTTTTTTAGTGCATAGGAAAGAAGAAATGGGGAGGGAATTATAAGTGTGGGGAGTCGAATCCTCATAAATAAAGTAATCAATCAATAAGCGATTAAAATTTCACTTAAAATCGTTTTTGTGAACCCAATGAGATTCGAACTTGCGTTCACTTTTATTTATAAACTACATCAAAAGTACATGTTCATTTTACATGGCTCACTATATCAAAAAAATAAATGTTTCCTTTTATTTGTCTATTTTAGCAAGTCAAAAGAGTTTTTATATTTTATTCTTAATATTAAGTAACTATATACAGTAATAGTAATAATCAAATTTAATGTTTCAAATCATTATTTAATAAGATTAATTTATAAGATGTTTGGCCAAACTTTTGGAGAAAATAAGTCTTCCTGAAAGCAGCAAAAAATATTTGTCAAAAGCTAAAATATATTTTTCTCTAAAAGCATTTTAATGAAAAGTGCTTTTTTTTTTAAAAAAAAAAAAAACACTTAAAGACACTTTTAATAAAATTTAGAAACACTTTAAAAAAACTTATCAAACATTAATTATTTACATTTAATTTATATCCCGCTGTATATTATATGACTGAATTTATCTAAGTTCCAACTACCACAAAATGATATGACATTTAATTTACATCAGTCGAAACTTAAAATAAATCTAACCCACAAAAATCTAATTTAAATTTACAAAAACCTATTTCCCCAATTATTTTCTAAAACAATATACTCAATTTAAGATAACTATTTTTAGAAATCACAATAAATAATTTGCGGAAAAAAAAGTATTTCAACATCAAAATTAGGTATATATCAAGGAAAATATCATTCAAACATAAAAAAGATATTCTTCTCCAATATTATTATTTCCCTGACAAAAGTATAGAGAGAATATATTATATTATATTGTATTAGAAAGAAAATTCATTTCCAATTTCTATGGTTCTTCTTTCAAACTTTTCCAAGAATAAGACGTGCACTTTCTTTCCCTTACAACAAATATAATTAAAAAAATATATAATGTTTTCACCAATTTGGTAAAAATATGCAGTCCCTTCCACACACGTGGGGAACATATATTTTTCCAAGATTATAAAAAAAAAGGTTATACACATAGTCCATGTTATCATACGTCTACTTCTTGATCTGTCGGTCCACCAAATCACTACTATTGTAGCACTAATAAAATTAGTCAATAACATGCCATAAAATAGTTTATACATGTATGGTGGTCGTGGAATAATAGGTACTCGATATTTCTTTATTCTTAATTAAATATGGTGAGTGATAAGTCAGACTTTTTTTTGTGGTTGAACATTTTCATTAAGAATCGGTAAGTTAAGGATTTTGAGTTATTTAGAGATATTTAAGGGTATGACCTAGTGATCAATAATGAAGTGATTGAGAATCATAAGTTCTCATATTCAAATCTTATAGCAGAGACATAAATATTAGGTGATTTGTTTCCATTTTTCTTAGCATCGGTGGACAGATTTATCTGATATCTATTACTGGTGGGAGATGAAATGTATCTCGTGGAGCCTTGATAGATAGAATCACTTGCTATCCGTTGTTGTTGCTGATAGAAGGTTGAAAATATCTCATAGAATTAGTTGTACACAAGTTGATTCAGACACTACAATTATCAACAACAAAAAATAGTGATTTTAAATTTTAGATATATATAAAAAACATCTTACTATGTAAAATAATTTTTTTTATACATAATATTAATCAAATTTTAAAACGAACATCAAACATTGAATTGGCAAACTAAAAATATATAGTGATGAACCTTCATATTCTAGCAGCTCTACCGGTCCTTCCCATTTTTCAAAATCATCTAAACACGTCGTATTTATTTTTCGATCTAAATATGGATATTATTTCTTGAATATTTTAAAAATTAAAATTTCTATATTTTGAATTATATGGAAGTACTATATATAATTAGAACACTTTTTGTAGTTAAAATTACTTTAAAATTGGAACTAAAGATTGGTTTGCTGTCCATATTGTAAAAATGATGTCAAACTTTTATGGGGAAAAAACATTGGCATAACAAAGCTAAAATCTTTAAGAGGGCAACTATATATTTTTTATGCTAGATTATTTGTTAGTGAATATAATCAAAGTAACAAGTACATGAATAATAGATTATAAAACAATGGATAAAAGATATAGAGTGAATCTTATTATATATGTTTTTTGGCATAGTTGTCTACCTCCATAACGATTGTCACGTGTCACCTTATGATACGTTCGGACTTAATTTACACCATAACTTTACGTAATTGTTTTAACCATCAATTTCTTATTTAGACGGTAATCTTCAATTAGATGTGCTTTTTGGCACCGAAAGTAAATTACAGAAACAGAAAGTATTAATTAAATGTAATAAAGAAACTTTTTAGAGTGGCAACAAATAAAGGATTAAGCCTAACTGCTTCTAATTAATTTCTTAACCGTTCATGTATTAATTATTAATTAAAGGAGTTTGATTAATGCATTTACTTGATTAACTTCTAATTATGAAGTGACAAATAAGTGGACATGTGTGCTTATGTCTAATTAATTAATATATAGAAAATTTTAATCAACTTTTTAGTCGTGAACTATAAGTTGCCTATGATTAAGACACTAATGACTAGGATTTTCACTAGCTAATTAACTCTTTTATTTTAGCAAAGCGTTAATATTAGGTGGGGAATACTAATTTTAATTTCTTATTTAGAATAGTAATTGAAAGCGACCGATGAATGATGACAATAATTTACTGAGATGTGTTTTGTATGAATGAAGTTATTCTTTAAGAAAATGTTTTTCGTTAAAATATTGTTTTTCTAATGTTTCGTTAATTGAGAATAGTTTTTTATTTTAACTTTTAATTTTATATCACTTGCTCTGACCAATATTTGCTACGATTTTATCAATCCTCAATACTAAAAAAAACTCATCAAAACACCATTTGATAAATTTGTTAAATTTATTATTAATATTTAATTTCTATTATATAATTTTTGAAAAATATTTTTGACTCATCAATCAAATACAAAAAACATTTTCCATGAAAAGTGGATTTAAATAGTTCATTTGATTGGAAGCTTTTACAAGTATTAA